CTAGCAGTCCATGTTACTTTTTAATACTCTTTTCCAACACCATAATTCAAATACACCAAATCTTCTATGGTCTTCCTTATTCACTGCCCAACTTTCACATGCATATATACATATGAAGCTATTGAAAATACAACGGGGCTTGGGGCAGGGGTACCTAAGTCCTCAAATTGACATCTTTGCTCTTGAACACTTTAAAGAGGTCTTGTACAGCAAAAAAAAAAGGTCTTGTACAGCAGATTTACCTAATGCAATAAATACATCATTCCCGGCATAGCTAACCATGTGATCGTCTGATTTAAAATAGCCATTTTAGCTCACTAATGCCTAGGATATCTATCTTTATGCATTCCACTTCATTTTTGACAACTTATACTCCATGTTCTGATTATTAGTGGGTGTTTACAGCTGTTTCTCCTTATTTTGAGTTGTGCTCCTTCAGCAAATGAAGATTCTGAAAGCTTTACTCCATTCATGTCATCACAGTCAACTGTACCGTGATGAACTTTGAGGAAGCGGCTCTTCCGTACTCCATCTGACAATATTCTGGTGCTCCTCTTCATGTTACAATATTCAATATTCTGATACTATTTGACAGTGTTCCACTGCGACTCACAAGGTTTCAGTGGCTAAACATTCAGAAGTAGTCCGCCCCTCCTTCCTAGTCTGTCTTGGTCTGGAAGCTTTAGTTGAAATCTGTCCACCATGGGTGACCCTGCTGATATTTATAATACTGGTGACATAGCTTCCAGCATCACAGCAACACACAAGCCACCACAGTACCACAAACTGACAGACGAGTGGTGGAACAATTCATTAAACAGTATTATTTAAAAAAAAACAAAAACCCTTCATAGTTTTAATCATATAATGTTGCTAGTATTGTTGGTTTAACCTAAGAGAAAACAAAACTTCAAGTTGTTTTTTACATGGCACAAACACAGTTTATTTGTATTCAGAAGTATCACATTAATATAGCATACAAAACTAAGAACCAGCTCCTAATTTAGAGCTTCAATAAGCAAGTGTCTTTAATTCCATCTCAACACATCTCTGGCTCCTTGAGTATTTAGGATTAGTGGATGATACATGAGCGGGTTGGAAGGCCTGCTTCGCATCAGTTTTTCTAGATAGTCAGACTTTCCAAGTTTCCAATAACAGCCAATACCCGGCTCTGCACTACAACTTACCAAGGCAAGCGCAGTTCAGCCTCACTGCTGCCCTGTTCATTCTTTCCTTTGAATAGAAAGTCAAAAGGCATCTCACATTTGTACCACACAAACAGCACAGCACTGCTCTCTAGAATGCTGCTTTGGGAGATGCTGTAGGTCTTACTTGCTAGACTGCCAAATTAAGCACATGAAACAAGACCTAATTCAAGTAAAAAGTATACTTAATGTAGTCCCTTAGAAGGAAAGGTCTGCTGCCTGTAACAATGCCATACATATACCTGCCTCACTCTACAAACATTAGTCTGTATTACTCTGGACAGGGAGTGAGGGCTGAGAGAAATCAGTCTCAGTCCCAGTTTATACACAAGAAAATCAAGGTTCAGAGAGGTGCTGTGATTCTCTGTCAACCCCTATCTCATGTTCCATTGGAACGCCACTAGCAGAACTAGGGATTGTAAATCAGGCTTTGAGCTACTAGGTCAGAGGGTGCTGGTGGCATCATGCTGCCACCTTATCTCCGTCACGTTATCCAAATCAAATCCCTGGGAATCTTGCCACGTTTCTCCCATGTTACCCTTGAACGGAACCTATTTGACACTTTCTGCAAGAAAACACCAACCTGCTCAATCACCCTGGCAGAACTATTCAACATACAAGGGGGCTGCAAAAAGTTTGTGAAAATAACCCGTTTTCTTTTAATTCAATTTTTCCACAAACTTTTTGAAGTTCCCTCTAGCTTAAAAACCCCAAATAAGCTTTCTCCTGGGAGGAAAACAGTTAGAGCAGCCCTGACCTCTTCTGTTCAATCACACATTCACGGAGCACCCACTATATGCCAGGCTCCGTGGAAACGAGTGGTGACCAAGTCAGATAAAGTCCCTGCTTTTCTGGAGCTTACTTTACATTCCAGCAGTAAAGACAGAAATAAACCAGTAAACATAAATGGGAATTTTCAGGCAGTGATGCTGTTAAGTGGTATCTAGTTGGTTCTGACACATAGCGCTCCTGTACAGGGTTTATCCTATAAAGCCACACCAGGACGTTGTGATATTAAATAAAAAGATACTACAGACAGCAGTGAGGAAGGATGCCATTTCAGATGGGGTGCTTCAGGAAGGATCCCATAAGCAAGGGAGATGTGAAGTAAGATCTGAGGGCCATGAAATGTCAGCCTCATAAGATCTGAGGGCAGAGGATCCCAGGTTGAGGAAGCAGCAAGTACAAAGGCTTTGAGATGGAATTAGCTTGGTATGAGAGAAGAACAAAAAGGTGGACATGAGAAAGAATTTCAAGACATAACAGAGAGGTACCCATCCACTGCCACTGAGCTGATCCCGACTCATAGTGACCCTACAGCAAGCCTATCAGACAGAGCAGACGTGTCCCTGAGGGTTTCTGAGACTGTAAGTCTTTACAGGAGTGGCTGGTAGAGTTGAACTACTGACCTTGTAGTTAGCAGCCCAAGGCTAACCTCCCCCCATGCCACCAGGGCTCCTCTAACAGGAAGGTTGTTGCTGTTGTTAAGTGCCACAGAGTCGGGTTCGAACCATAGCAACCCTGTAGGGATCCAAGGAGCAGCTGGTGAGCTTGAACCACTGACTTTGCTGTTCAAACCAACTGTGCAATCCAGCTCATTAACCCAGTGAGGTAGATTGGCTTAAACCATGTAGCTCCTTGTAGATCTGGTAAAGATTAGAGGCTATAGTATAACTGCAATGGGAAGCTTTTAAGTATTACCAACAGGAAAGTACCATGAGCTCATGCCTGTTTTTAGAAGTCCTCTTTGACTACTGCCTGGAGAATGGATTGTCAGGAATGAGAGAAGAAACTGAGACAGTTAGGTAATCAGAGGAGAGGTGACGGTGGAGAGAACTACTGCAGTGGCAGAAGATAGTGAGAAGTGGACAGATTCGTAGTATATTTTAGAGGTAGAGTTCAAAGAATTTGCTCACAGGCTGGATGTGGATTGTGCAGGAAGGAGTGAAGAGACATTGAGGGTGCCTTCTAGGTTTTTGGCCTCAGCACCTGGGGATATACCAGTATGTTGTTGTTGTTGTCAGGTGCCATCGAGTCAGAACCGACTCATAGCGACCCCATGCACAGCAGAACGAAACAATGTCCGATCCTGGGCCA